ACCTGAAAACTGAACAGGAAGAACGTGTATCTCTATAGAAAGAAAGAACATTGAAAAGCAACAGCCCATCTTAGTCTGGATATAGTTTGGACTTGCAGTGTGGAAGTCTGTCTGCTAATTAATAACACTTTAAATAAGCCCTCCTTATGTTTGGCTCCATTGGGTCATGCCAGCCTGCAATTTCAGCATGTCATCCATTTGTGCAACTGCAAGAAGATGAGATGAAACATGTAATTTCTGTGTTTCTGAGAGCTATTGCAACCCTGTCCGTCAGACAGCTCTACTTCTGCCTCAGACATCACTTTAATGATTTGTAACGTTTGTGGATTCTCTGCTTGGGCCTTTTTAAGAACCATCCTGGTGCTGCTGCTCTTTGAAATGCTGTCTGACGAGTTGGTCAACATTTCAGTCAAGAAGGTGAGTTTCTGGTTATGTCCTTTCAACGCTGGGCATGAAAAAGAGTGTTGTAGCAGTCCCTGATGGTAGTTATGAATGTTGGTTCCAATGAAAGTCAGATTTTTAAACAACTTTTTTTTTTTTTTTTCTCCCCTCCATGGTTGCAGTTGGTCTCTTCCTGGAGAGAAGAGACAGTAGATACACTAGATGTGTCTAGAACTTGCTTTGTTTTATTTATGACAGCCTGTTTCTATCTTTAGCCTGGTATTCTAGTATTCCAAGGTCCAGCCCTCCCTCGGCAAGGGTACGCGTGATCTAAAGGAAGAGCTTTCCTATTGAAAAACTTGTTGTTCTCACTCTCCAACTATGTCGGTCGGTTTGACTCAAAGATACTACTTTTCCTTACAAGCCTTTTCTTCCTCTACTCAGAAGAGCAGTTTCCAAAAGCTAAATATTATAAATAACATGCCAGTCATCCTATGGAAACTGCCCGTGTGCCTGCTTTCTAAGTGCAAAGTAATGTGGCTCTCTAAGAAGGTGGAAAATTGCTACAAATAGTGCAAGTGAAGAAAGTTCATTTAGCAATTACTGTGAAATAGTGAACATGCTGTAAAACTGCAACCTAATTTATCTCATGGTCATTTAGGATATGACTACAAGAATACTAAAATGGATATTTTCAGTGTAACACAGTGTGCCTCACCGTGTTATGAGCTGGCTGGTATTAATTTCCTTTCTGAACACCCAGTCTTGCTCCAGTGTTAGTAATATCTTCCACTGCTTTAAATGTGCCAGTGTCAGAAATCTGCAAAGCAGCCTTTACGACACAGAGCCCAAGGTTCCTCTCTGTTCCTGGAGCAGCGAGGTTCTTCCTCAGGAGCAATGCTGTGGGAACAGAGGCTCGCTGGGGTTTTACTGCAGGTGCTTGCAGGAATATCTGACCCGAGGGCAGGTAAAACCTGTTCCCCTTTCCATGCATACAGCTCCACGGCCTCCTCCCTTGCACGTTACAAATCATCTGTGCTGCCTCACCTACGTAGTTCCCTCTTCCCAGGAGAATTCAAGCAATCCCCTGAAACTGCTTGGAGCCCTCTGATGCAGGCAAGAAGCTAGTGGCAGAGGAGAGAGGTTTGCCTGGTGGAGCCTAGAAGTTAATCAGTTTGTAACCCTTAGGTCCGTTAGGAGCTGTGGCTTTCACAGATCTTGAACCTCGTGGGGATTAAGGTTTCCTGTTCCTGTTACCATAATTCTTGTCAACCTCACAGATTTGTATGAGAAATTTGTTTGATTTAGTTATTGATTAGAATTATTTGTAGTTGATTGGGGATTTTGGGGGGATTCCATCCTTTATACTCTGCTGGGACCTCATGCCCCTGGTGTCTCACAAATGTACCCTCAAAGCTGTCATTAAATGATGTGGAGTTTGCATCTTCCTTGGACTCTGAGCTTGCCCTCTGTGCCCTGACCATGCAACAGCCATCATTCTCTTTAAAGTATGACATCTTGCTGTCCACGTAGGCTCTCGGCTTTCTCTTCTCTGAACGTGGAGTCTAGCTGCTGTTTTCACTAAATAAACCTTCTCAGGCTGTGGCCTGTTCCAGGTCCTCGATGGGAAGGTGCCCGGCATCCTGCGGAGTATCAAAACATAAACCTCCCTAATATCGAGCACCTCTCTTCCAAGACCCCACAGCACAGATGAGTGCTGCCACAGGATGCTTGTGAAGATCCAGTCCTTTTTCTCTTAATCCCTGTTCTCTTGGACATTAGTAGTGTTATGTGTCAGTCAGCAGACAGTAGCTGTGTGTTTCCTATGTCAAACCAATCTTCATTTGTTCCCTTACTGTTAGTGTTGTTTTCTTTTGATTTTTATTTTTTCCACTCTTCTCCGAGCTTAAATGCAGTTTTCTTGGTCACCTCCTCTGCTGCTTGAGGCATGTGCTGGTCCTCATCCTTCAAGTGTCTGCATTCATCCATAAGATCTCCACAAAGCTTTCCTCCTCCCTCCCTACCACCCGCTCTGCTGTCATTGCTTCTCTTGCTTCCTTTGCCTACTCTTGATTCTAAGTTACTCCTCAGTGTTTGCCCTTAGCAAAATAATATTTTAATTCAATGGAAATTCATATTATAGTTTCATGTTGTTCTCCTCGGTTGTTCTGTACTGTTCTTGTATGTAACTCCAAACTAAGTTCAAGGCTGGGATGCTGTTTGCCTTATGTCCTCTGCTTAGCAAGCTGTGTACACTCACTGCGCTCGGGTATTAACTGTTCTTTAAAGTGCTTTAAGGACCTTGTGTGATAAACATTGCAAACGTGCTGTACTGTGCCTACAGAAAGGCATGAACCTTGAAGTGTAGACCCCAGCTTTGTCAAAACTCGGGAAAATCAGACCCACTGTCTTCCTTAAATCTCTTTCTAGGTGTGCATAATTGTAGTAGGAGAGAGGGAATGTAAAATTGCAGCAGAAGAGACAGGAAACAAGAGCAGATAGAGGGGATGAGCTGCCTTTTAAGCTCTTAAAGCCAGGGGGTAAATGTTGTTAGGAGCCCTTGGTCAGCTTTCTGTAGTGTCATGGTCTGGTGAAGAGTTTGATGTTGCTTATCTTCCTAGGTTATTTTCACAATGTAGAACACTCTTTTTTGGTGTCACTTACGTGTTGAAAATAGTCTGAGAGACTCCTGCTATGACTTCAGCTTTCCACTGAGTTATTTTAAAAGTTAGGTATTTTTACTGAATCCTGTGATGGGTCATCATTTTTCAAACCAGTAAATACTTCTTGTTATAAGAACAGACTTCCTTTTATAGTATCCACTGGGTGCTATTTTTACTGGATCCAGTGTAGAGCTATTTCCTATTTCTAAATGTTCACTAACGCTGAAAAGCTCCTGCATGTTCATGTGTGCACTGTCTCTCTTTCTCTCCCAGCTTTTTTAACCTTTTTGATCCATTGCTGGGGCTCTAGCGAGGCGATGGCAGCTTTCAGCATTTAATGGGCTGCGAGCAGGAAGATCAGCTACTTCCTCCCCTTTGAGACCATGAAGTCATCAGCGACCCTGGCTTGCTTTATCATCTGCTGCTGCTGCCTTGGTGTATGTGGAAAGAATGTAAACAGCGCTTTCCAGATGTTGGCCGGGAAACTGCAGGGCCATAAATGGACTGTTTCGTTCAGAATTATTACTAATCTGTTTGGGGCATGGCAGCGGCTAGAGTGACACAAACCTCCAGCTCCGTGCAGATGCTGTGCAGCGTGCTCTGCCAGTTATATCACGGAATGAGGACTGTGTGCGGTTGGCAAGTGTGTTGGCTCGCTCTGTTGGCTCATCGGCGCTGGATCTGAAAATGCTGCAGATCCTGAATTTGTCCTCATGAGACCCCAGAAGACGTATTCTCCCCATTCCAAGGCAGAGGTACTGGTTTGTTGGAACAGTTAAGTGATTCCATAGCATGTTCAGGTGTTGAATAGGGCAGGTGACGTCTCATTCTACCAGCTTTCCTTCTGATAACCTTCTCTTGATCCCTCTTCAGCTGCTGACCAAAACCTAGCAGCAGCGCCCATTGCTCCCATGCTTGGCAAGTGCTGCATTGGTTACCTCGTGTGCCTCCAAGTTGTATCCATGACCTAATCAGACACAGAGTAAGGGAGAGAAAGCTGATCTAGTTTTTTGGACTCTCAGTCCAGCATTTGGTGGAGTAGGAAGTGCTGAACAAACATGGAGGTGTTTCATCTTGCTACTGTTCAGAGTGGGAACTGGGAACGCAGTGTCTCTCATGACCCTCCTGCGCTGGAAAAAGCATCAAATTTCACTACTAGCAGCATACCCCAAAAAAGTCTATTTTGGGGGAGAACCAGTCACTTCCCACTTCAGGGTGTGTGTGTTTTTAATGCATTAATTTTTATTGAGTGGTGGAAAAACTGATGTCAGGACCGCATTGCGGCTGGCCATGGATGAACACAAGGTGGTAGGAAATAATACATCTAACATCAAAAGGGCAATGAAAGTTTAACCATAGAGGGTTTAAAATAGCAAAGCTGAGCCAGGTGGATATTAAAAGACATGACTGAATCAAAACAACAGTCTAAAATTAAACTGGATTTTGCAGAGGGAATAGCAAACATTCTGTTAATTTCTCTTGCTTATACAATGTCCAAAGGTAGGTTTCTAATCTCAACATATTGGTTTCTGACTTTGGTATTGGCAATCCCTGGCTGCCCAGGATAGAGACTAGAAGCTGCAGTGCAGGTCTATGGGTTGTCTGTGTGTCCCTCTCTCTATCTGCCTGCAGAGTATCCTTTTCGTTTTACGGTGGTCTATAAACTTGTCCAGCATGACTTATCCCCTGGCATCACTAGCAGTTCAGATTGCAAAGATCCATGAAAACAAGGCAGAGTGAGGTAGAGGGAAGAGCTTTGGAAATTTGAGCCAAAAAGCGACATGAGTACATAATTGTATAAAAGAAAATGTGTTTGTTTTGTTTTCTGTCTCATAGCCTTCTGAGAACTGAAAAATGCTATTGGAAAGCTGAGCGGAAAAACTTCAGTATCATTCATGGCTGTGGGGACATGAGATGTATTCAAATATTCCACCTGTTTTATGGCTGTTATTTTTCTTCTTTCAGGTTTGACATCTACAGGAAGGTGCCAAAAGACCTTACACAGCCAACCTACACAGGGGCTATTAGTAAGTAGCACTTCTCTATCCTTGCATACCCCCGATCTAAAATTAAATTTCTTCTGACCTCTCTGACTTAGAGGATATTTTTAAAGAGATATTAAACACTGGAAAGGGTATCCGTTATTGCTGAGACAGCTTATTTTGCCCCATCTTTCAAGCTGTACTAAATGGTGAGGTAGTCTGCCTGGATTCAGAATCTTAACATATCTGTATCACTTTTTGTTATTGTTATGAAAGGGAGCTTTTGAGAGGTAAGGCTAAAATACCCCCTGTGCTAGCTGCCAAAGTAGCTAGAGAGCTTTTTGTGAATGTCTTCTGTGAACAGGAGCTATAAGTCTCTTCCAAGCACTGGACAGAGAGGGGAGAACTGCAGAGTTTTTAATACTCTCTAATTGTTGGGCATCCCCTCAGGGTGGAAAAAAGCTGAAAACAGCTGCATTCACGTCTTGCTGGCCAAAGAGACTTTACGTTCTGATGTCTGATGATGGTCAGGAGGTAGTAGGATGGATGGCAACATGGAAGTGGCCAAAGGTCAATATGAATTGGGAGACGCAGATTTCTGTCACAACATACTCAGGGGATTTGTCTGGCAGCTGGGAGAAATGAGCAGAGGTTTTATTTATTTACTTATTTACTTATGGCACATTTTTCAAGAAGAAAAATTACTTTATCAGAAAGCACCAACAGTGATCCACACTCACTCCCATATATCAATCCATAGACTCTGGTTGATACAAATATCTTGCCTTGGGCCTCTTTTCCTTCCTTCCTCTGCCTGAGGTGGGAGACTGTAGGCTGAGTAATGCAATTTCACACGAATGTGGCCAATGAACGCACTGTGCAGGGTGGTAAACATTGATCAGTTGGTCCTGCCAAGTCTGTAATTAGATGCCTAATGGAGCTTTCCTGTTCCATTGAACAGTGACTTCCTTTGATCATGTAGCTTTGCCCCATTCATCCATTTTCACAGATGGGTCAGTAGCCTTGTATGTCATTGCTGATGTGAGTGATGTCATATCCCTTGGTGACAACGGACGTCAAATAGAACTGAGTCAGTAACAGCAAATCAATGGGACACACAGCAAAGCCTTTTGTAATCTAAGGAAACTCCTCGCTGAGCATAGTGTGTGACTCTAAATATTTATTTTCAGAGAGCCTTTGTCCTCCATGTTCTTCTCATTCCGGACTGTGTTACTTGCATATTGACTCCCATTTAGTTTTGCTGAAGCTGTGAATAAAGGGCTTGAAACAGTTTACTAATTTAGAGGCATATGAGATTTAGTGTTCTGAAAGAACACTTTGAACTTGTTAATGTTCCTACCTTCCCTTCTGTTTTGGAAACTAAGAATTCCCACGCTGTATCTGGGCTCTCTCTGAGAATTTGTCTTGTTATGAATCACCTGCAAAGGAGCGTGTTTTAGAAACAAAATAATAAAAAAAAGAACCATCAAAGGCCATCCAGTGTTAGGCTCTCTGATCTACAGTAAACAGCTCAAGTGATAAGTTTGTTGTGGGAAGGCTTGGAGGCTGTGACTCTTACAATTATTAGCTGACTTATTTCTCTCTATTGTTATTTGCAGCCTCTCAAGCTTTGATTTTCTTCTCCAACTGGTTCTCCTGCTTTTGGTCAGAATGCTCATGTAGACAGTCTGATAGAGGCTTTTGAACCACACCGGCAGCCGACAGGCTTTGACGGCTCCATATACAGTTTTCATAATGGCCCGTCTGCCCAAGCCTGTGCCTTGTCATTTGAAAGCCAGTAATCTTGAGTGTTATAGGGGGCTGTGGATGAGACTAGCCCATTGCCCTGCCAGTTTGAAGGCAGGGAAGGTTCCATGATTTTGTGACAAATGCTTCAGGGAATTCAGATTGTAATAATAATATTAGGAGCTTATTTGTGGGGGAAAGTTCTACCTCACAAAAACTTTCAGGGCTGTAAATCTGTGAAATGGCTGTGGCTACAGCTGTACTTGGACTTTCTTGAAGTGTTCCAAGGTTTACAAAGCAGATATGAAGCAGTTCGTAGTAGCTGGCTATTAACTTGTGCTCTTCCCATAATTTCTGCTGAGGCTGAGAGTCCTGTTTTGCTTCTGTTTCCGAACTCTGTGGAATAGCGATGTGCAGGATTTCTACAGGGTCTTTTGAATTCTAGAGAAGCTTCTTTCCAAAAGTTCAATTCATCCATGCTGCTTGCATGTGGAAGAAAGAATAGCTCAAATTATAGAAAACAGGAAGGTACCAGCTCTGTTTCTAACCACTGGGAGCAAGATGGCCAACTTCCCTGGAAAGAAGCAGCTCAAAGAGAAGAAAGATAGCTCAATGAGCATCACTTTTTCTAGCTGGAGAAGAGCAGGCAATCTCACATGCTGGCAAGTTCAGAAGCCAACTGGAGAGATCTGGAGAGTCCTTGTGCTATGTAAGGATTTGTCATTTCCCAAGTTGTGCTGCACGCTGCATACAAGGTATTTGAGATCTGCTTGGCAATCCTTCCAGCATGGACATGACAAGGAATGAGGAGCAGGAGATGTCCGCTATGATTTGATGGACTGAGGTTTGCCTAGAACAACATACCCACTGCTAAGCGCTTGCCTGGTGTGTGCAGTAGTTGGACATTGTTTTTTCCTCAGTAGAAATATCTTGTTATAGCTAGTACTGAGCTATGTACACCACACAGCCAGTCGTGCTGCTGTTGTCCCTGTTCCATCAGGTGCTTGTGCCCCTCTTCAGTGGTATCTGTGATGCTGCCTTACAGTTTGAGCAGAGCTGGCTATCTGGTGACAGACTGGCCAGGTTTGGGTGTGCAGACAGCCGGGACACGTGTCCTGGGTGTCTGACAACTGGCATCTGCTGCGGGAGCAGCCCGGCCTCTTGAAAGAGGGTCTGCAGCTGCTGCCGCCGTCCTGCTGCTTACCAGTCAGCGTGGCTGCATAGTTTGCATGCACATGTTGAATGCACACATAGTAATGCTATCCAGAAATACTCTATGCTGTGTGGAGGCTGGAGTTTTAAATACACATCAGGAAATATCAAAGTTATGATTCACATGGCATCTGTAACAAGACCCACTCCTCACACTTGATGGCAGTTTGCTTCATTGAACAACAAATTCTATTAATTTTATGCCTTAATATAGAAACGGCCTCGCATTCTCATTGTGTGTGCTGTGCTAAACGCTTTGCTTTGTATTTTTTTCATTTCCTGGGCCGAGGGAAGGGAGCTGTCAGGCAAGTGTATAGATGGAGTTATGTGGCAGAAGAGATACATACAGAGCGTTAGGTTGTAGAAGCCAGTGTTGAAAGGCTGCGTGGGCAGTATCCCCAGTATCCCCCTCACTTGGGGGTTGTCATTGCTCAACAGCAGTGTATTTCAAGGTGTCAAACACCAGCAAGCTTCAATGTATCGATAAGGTGATCATAGTAGAGTTTTAAGAAAGCTCTACTATGGAGTCCTACTAGAGCATTGCAATGCTCTCGCAGTTGAATTAAACTTCATATGTTAATTGCTTTATTTTGTCTGATTCCAGCCTTTAATCTACTTTTCCAAATATAATAAAGTTGTCAAGCATGGGCTGTGAGAACTGTGTATTTTCATGGAAGCAAATATAGGCCTTAACTATGAAGTAAGAAGCTGAAGCACTGTGTGTGTGACTGTGTACGCTGGGAACATCTCGTGTGCCTGCAGCTTCACTCCGACTAGAGGAGCCCGTGTTCTCTATCTGAAAAAGCTTCCATCTTACTTTTGGCAGAAGAGACAATTTGGTTGGACACTTGCATGTAAGTCTTATGCCAGCCTCCTTTCACCCTCAAAAAATGGATGTACAGAGAGACTTTAATATAAAGGCAGCCAAGCTGGTCAGTCCAAAGGTCCATTTGGGCCGGTATCCTGTCTCTGGTAGCAGTCAGTAAGAAAGAACCCAGGGAGGTTCAGCGCCTTCCCAGCTGTCAGTCAACTGGCAGTTCTGGAACCTCCTGACCTAGAGGTGGTTCCTCTGTGTTTAATAACCCTCAATGAATTTCTTCTTTAGGGAACTTCTGATTCTTTATGAAATCATGTAGACCTTTAGCATCTACAACATCCATAGTTAAGGAGACACAAAATTCTGTTGTGTAGACAAAAATATCTTATTTTTAACCTTCCCTTCTCTCTCCTTGTACTGGAAGAGGCAGTGAGCAGTTGTTCTCCATTCATCTCCTCGAGGCTGATCACGATTCTGTAGAGATCTAGCATGTTTTCTGCAGTCTCTTTTCCAGATTGAAAACTGACCATACAGTTTGAAGACTGGCAAAAATATTGAAGAACTTTGAAAGTCAGTCCTTGCCAGGTGTGTCGGGATGCTCTTGCTCACCTGCAGGTATTTCTAAATATAGATTAGTATAATATTATTGTACTCTGTTTGGTAAGTATTGTCACAAGTCTTCATTGGAAGAGCTGAAATGAAATATGAACTTGAGGGCACAGGTACTTGATATGCTGGGAGAGGAGAAGATATTCAAAAATGATGGAGAAGAAAGCAAAATGTTGGAAGAGAAAGAAAGCTTCAGAAGAGAATTTGCAGTTATCAATACCAGGCTTGCATAGAAGTGATGAAGAGCTGAGAGATCTGGCTGATGCTGTGGAAAGCCTTTACATAATGATAACAAGGCACAGAGGAATGTGACCAAAGATGAAACAGTCTGTGTGAAACATTTTCCCTCTGCATATTGCCAAAGAGGAATGATCCTGTGTCTCTGGTGCTTGATGATCAGCAGTAAGAAACAGTAGGTCACCTTGTCTTGTGACTGGCTGCTTGCTGCTTTTGCGCTCCTACGTAGGTGTGTGTATTCTCCTACGAATTTGCCACTTTAGGTCCACCTTTCTCCTCCCTCCATGCTGTCTCCTGCACGCCGCTAGCAGCGTAGCTGGGTTACACCAGAGTGTCCTTCTGAGTCTTGACAGCCAAGACTTGGGAGTAACTGTGTGACCATCTGAGAGGGTTTCTCTTTGGAAAGTAACATCTCTTCTCAGTTCCTGTTTTCCTACTGTTCTTTGGCTTTTTTCTTCCCTTTTTTCTCTTTCTTAATTCTCTTTAATTAATTTTTGGCACCTCTTAATTTCTCACATTTTTGAGAGAGTCAGTAAATGAATCCACCGTTGCAACAACCCCGATGAGGAAGGGGAAGCAATGCGTTTCTCTTTGCTCAGAACCGGAGTGTGACTAATCTGAAGAATGAGGCACAAGGCCTTGGGTCACTTACGGGTCTGTCTCGGTATTTGCCTTAATTACCTCCTCTTTCCTTCCCTTGCCTCTTGTACTCCCTACCAATGGTGTTTGGACAATTACAGAAGTATGATGCAGTTGCTCTCCAGCCAGTTGTTTCTCGTGTCTCCCAAAGGAATGGGGATTCAGGCTGTATTGGTCCTATGGAATAAAGTTGAGGCACAGGGTTTTCTTATGGATTTCTCAATCTTAATTTGGAGCTATGGTAAGGCACTCATTTCCAAAGAGTGCTTGGTCATTATTACTCTGCTGGGATTGAGGGGTGAGCCAGATTATATGTCTGTTGTCACAATGCTGGAATAACATGCTGTTTCTGGGTTTACTCTTTCGCATAGTGATTCATTGTGAACTTCAAAGTTTTATTTATTTATTTTTTATATAAATACAGATACATACTGCAGCCCTGTCTCCTTGTGTTGGCACATCCTTGTCTACTCCAATCATCCCTGCTCAGTAGGGTTCATAGCTGTCCAGCTCCTCCTCTGCAGGTCTGCTGGGTGAACCTCACTGTACAGTGTCTTACATAGTTTTCTGATGAAGAATAACCAGTAATGAACAGTTTGTAGAGCTACCTCTTCTAACCCTACGTTAGCTTTCTTAGGGAAGACTTGGGAATTGCTCTCTGGGTTTTTAGCATTTTCTTTACTGGGAATTTTCCCTCACTGAAGAGCCAATCTGCAAATGGAGAAACTGGGAAGGCTTTGGGCATTAGCTAAATTGTTCCAGTTATCCCCACATCTCTGCTCTGCTGGCTCTGTCCACTGGGTCCAGCGGACTTGGAACCCGACTTACACATGGCTTTAGGACTTGACAGAGAAGCAAAATGTCTCATAATCCACAATATGCTACATAACTGGCTGTGTGCCTGTGAAACAGGGTGATGTTGATTCTTTTTCCTTTTGGAGGCTTTAATAACAATAAAATGTCATAGCCAAAGGCTCAGAAGATGTGGAGAAGCCTGGCAAGAGGGAGAAAGGCTGACCAGCACTGTGCTGGAGATGGAGAAAACAGGAAACCTGGGAAGAAGATAGAAATTACACTTTAGGTTGAAGGTAGACCAAGCATTAGATACCCAGCAGGATGTTAAATATTCTGCTACAAGACTTGTCAGATTCCAGTGGTATCACCTGGAAGTCTCCTGAGGGTCCCTGTCTCTAAAGAGAACATGAATTCTCAAGTGTGTCTTGCGTGACGCGTTCACTGGGGGAATCGTCTATCTGCATGAAAATAATTTGTTTCTTTATCAGAGATAAAAGACTAACCTTTTCCTCCATCTTTCTCTTTTCCAGTCTCTGTCTGCTGCTGTCTCTTCATACTGTTTCTCTTCCTGTCTGAGCTCACCGGATTCATAGCCACTGAAATGTAAGTAAAAATGATGTTTTCCTTTGTATGAATGCATGTGTACGTATGATTCTTTAATGCTTCATTCTGTTATCTTGCCTAAATGTGTCTAATTTCACTAGTCCAAATAATTATGTAATATTTTTTGGTTTCTCTTTGGTTGAGTCCAAATTCTGAACGATTTGTTCAGCTTTTTAATTTACTAATGTATCCTAGGCAAATTTAGTTCTAAAATACTTTTGTTAGAGCAAGCTGTTCCAAACCTGCTTAATGTTTTATCTTGCATACAAGATTGTGTACTGAGCGTGGGGAGTGTTCTTGATGTGACCACAGATTGTACCTGGATTATGACCCTTGACAGTTTCTGTGGTGATCAGATGTAAGGTAGTGTAAATGCTAAAGAGCTCAATGCCTCTTCCCCCTCAAGCTGTTGATTTATTGTCCTCATTTGAGAACATTTCTTCTCATCTCCTAAGTACTTTCTTTTGTGCTTGTTTCATTCAAAGCGATTCTGGGAAAATAGCATATTTTTATTTTTTTTGATCAGTGACACCATATTTTAAATGTGTGGTGCCCGTTGTTGAAATCCATGTGGTCTGTGCCCTGAGACTGCAGGGTTTTATTGCCGATAGAGTGGGATGCCTGGCAAGATTACTTTTTTTCCCATGAGCCATATTTTTTTTTCTCATCGCTTCCCTGTGGACTAAGTGGAAATTCCATTTTGACGGTCTTTACTGGACGTTTTTGGTGATGCTTTTTAGAATAGAGAGTGGCATTTAAATATGAATGGCTATTAGTTTAATGAATGTTAGTAGTACTTTTTTTTTTTTTTAATGTGAGATAGAACTGAATGCCTGATCCATGCAGATAGGGTTACTCACAGTGTGGATGTTCTTTCTTTGTGCCTGTTCAACCTTGCTTGGAAATTTACTTGACAGGCGTCTGTGCCTGAGGAGGAGTTGTCCCTAGGTAACTTCTTCAGGATCTCACTCAGTAAAACGAAAATTCCCTTTTTTAAAAAAATCACTCATAGAACAAATATTTTAGTTAGTTTTTTTTTTTCCCTCATGCTCCTCCTGCTTTAACACAAACTTTCCTTAGTAACTCTTAACATAAGTGCTTTTGTTTTGGGTTCTAGGACTCATTCTCCATCACCCTCCTGATGTAGCAGTGAGCTCACTGGTGTGATACATGATTCCTGGAGAGTTAGGAAGGGCGGAGCTTCCTTCAGACGTGCAGGGTGGTCCAGAGAGCAGCAGCCAGCCCTGCCGGGCAAGGCAGCCCTTGAGTGCCCTGGAGTCACGTGCCAGGTTTTGACCCACGGTGCTTGGTGCTGGGTCTGATAACCACGCGAGTCTTCCATTGCTTTCGCGTGACTATGACTTGGAACAAGAGTATCATCTGAGGAGTAACTGTAACTTTGAGTAATGCTTAACCTTAAGACAGTGTTAGTATCTAGGTCCAACTAATTTTTTCTGTTGCTCATTTACTTCAGAATTGATGTCTTATGTTTCTTACTCCCTTCCTCTTTCTTTGAATTCAGTCCTATGCTTTTGCTTTTAAAGTAGTTGGGTTCCCCTTCTCAATACTTCTCTCTAGAGCTGAATTAAAAAAAAAAAAAAAAGTAATGCTTCATTTGTAAGTAAAGAATAGAGTATTCTTTGGTCTCATCTTAAATCTCACTCTCTCATTTGATTTTTTTTTTAATGTTTTACTGGGGGAATTAGTAATACTTACTAAAATCTGATCAAATTAATGAGTTATTTGCCTTTGTATAGTGAGTTGTGTAAGCATTTCTTTTTGAACAGCAAAATTATGATTCTTTGAGCCATCTTCATCCTTTTTTTTTTTTTTTACATTGTAGCTTTGTTAACAGCATGATGCATTTTCCACAAAGAAGGTGCTGTAAGTTCCTGAACGCTCAGCTGACAGGATTCTTGTTAAAACCTCAGAGAGATGGTGAACTGCCTTTCCCAGCAGGGACTGCTTGAGGAAGAGGTGTTTATAAGTGTTCAAGCAGTAAAATTGTAGTGAGGATGTCATGGAAGAGGCTGAGGCAAATGAATGCCAGAAACAGATTCGTCATAGACCTTCCAACACAATAACTTGCAAAATACGAAAAACTCCTGATGAGTTAGAGGCCATCAAAATCTTTCTTGCTGGGAACAGATCACCCACAGTATTTGTGAAGAGGCTTCCTCTCTAACTATGGAAATACCTCAGAATGTGACAGTAACAAAGTATTTCCTAGTTCAGTAACTATAAAAGACGAAGTAAACTTTTCTTTTTCCATGTCTTACTCATTGCTATCTCTTCTGGAAAGCTATATTTAGAGGTATTCAAAGATGTTGCCAACCTCCTGTGCTTCCCTTCCAAAGGTGTATTTTGGAGAGCAGATTAGAAGCATTCCAGCAGCAGAGCCCAGTGGTTTGGAATAGGGCCGTGGAAGTGTGGAGCTGTGTGGAGTTGTAGACCTCTATGCTGCCATTATGAAAGGGGTGGTGCCAGAGAGCGGCAGGGGGAATATTAACTCCCAAAAATGTTTTGAGGCTTGTTTGCCCCATATGATATACTTTTGAAGATACAGAAGATGGTGTAAATGCAAATTGCTGAATTCCGATCAACTTCCATTGCAAGCTTTGAGACTCTTCTATAGCAAGAGCTTTCCACAACAGATATCCTTGCAAGCTTGAAGTTTCCTGCAGTCAGCCAAGATCTGAATGATTAACCAAAGTACACTTACTCATGCTAACTTACATGGGGTGAGCTCTCCTGCTCTGCCAGTGCTACTTGCATTCTGAAACTGCATCAGTGTTTCTCCTCTTGTGCAATATTGCCCTTAAAGCAGTCATGCACTTGACAAAGCAAGATTGCATGGAGATAACAGAACATTTTCGATGGCAAGGAGAAATTGGCAGTGTTTTCTTTGGTTTTTATTTATCTGTTTGTTTTTAAATGAAGTGGCTGTGGCCATGTACCTTACATAAGAGATGTACCAGGTTGCCTGCTGTGGGTTCTGTGTGTGGATCGTTACCCTGTTACGCCAAGTAACTGTGCGTGGTAGGTGTGCACGCAACAGCCTACTGCAGGGCAAGCCCAGCAGCAACCTTCACAGCGATAGTTTCCACAGGATTAACTGTCTAATTCTCACCAACGGGAGATTTCTTTCGTGTCTGCATCTGGAGTGAGAGGCCGATATGGTTGGTTGTGCTTGTGTGCTGTAACATGAGCAAAGATCTGCTCTGCACTACATTAACCCTTCACTGTTGCTGGCTTCTACCCACTTTTACATTCCTATGACTGTGGCAACATAAATTCCTGTTGTCCTGGAAATCTCATTTTGGTCACTCTTACCTGAGTTGAAAGCCCATTGTCTTAGTACTTGTAGTCTCAACTGCCAAAGATTGGTCTAGGTAGCAGAGGCCAAGAAATGGCACCTCGTCTTGAGAGTAACAGTTGTAACGCTAAGACCAGCAGCCTCTCTGCGTGTGGAAGATGGTGTGCGGCGCGGTAGCCGTGTGGTGATCTGGCGTGTGGGCCTGTCTGTGAGCAGCAGGGTCGTGGCACTGCGAGGGAGCTTCTCTCCCGCAGCGGGGAGGCCAAGCCACGACTACGCAGTGCACAGAGTCTCAGAATGGTGGAGCTGGGAAGGGGCCTCTAGAGATCATCTGGTCCAACCCCCTGCTCCAGCAGGGACACCTGGAGCATGTGGCACAGGGTGGCATCCAAGCGGGTTTGGAAGATCTCTAGAGAAGGAGACTCCACAACCTCTCTGGGCAGCCTGTTCCAGCGCTCTGGCACCCTCACAGTACAGAAATTTTTCCTCACATGGAGGTGCAGCTTCCTGTGTTTCAACTTGCTCCCATTTTCAGCGGCAGGCGGGAGGCTCGTGCGCTGCAAGTGCGTGTCCCGCTCTGCCACTTGCTGGTTTCCATGTGGAGAAGCCCCAAGATGGCTAGAAAGTTCAGTTTCTCATTTTCTATATCTCTTGCATGATTCTGACAGGCAGTTGTTTGAGCAGCCAGGGAGGAAATCAAAGCTTGCATCATAGCTGGGGCCACCTTTTTTCTTTTCCCAGCTTTAGGAAACACAGAGCAAAGTGGTGAATAGGGGAAGAGAGTCCGCTGTTTTGCTCAGCTACAAGCCATCATTGCAGTTGATAGGAAGATGGGATTAGTGATGGAAATCAGACCCAGAGTGAGCGTGACTGAAACCCTTGGAAGAGTACGAAATATGGCAAACTCCTCGGTTCTGTAAGAGAAGGGAGGTCCATGCTCTACACTTGGACCTCTGCACAATTGGCAGTATCAGCGGGGCATTTTCCCCACTTGGCAAATGGTTCAAATGGCTGTAGCAATAAAGCTGAAGTGTTAAATGTGGGTGGTGTTTCCTGAGCAGGATCAGTCTTAGGTTGAGAGTGCACTGAGAGCTAGAAGTTGCTTGGAATACCTTTAACATCCTTCCTTCCTCACTCATCTTGTTGCTATGTTGCAAGTCAAGAACATAGAAATCATCTATCTCTTTTTCTAATTAACCCAGATCAGTTCTGGAATTAAATAGTTGGCAAGGAGATAATCCTGCCTTTTATGACCTTAATTAGGTCATGAATTATGTTCTGTAGGTTTGATAAGAGTTTTCCGAGTATTCCATTGCTAAGGAGGCAAGATACAATTAACTTTAGTTTGCCATGCATTGGCAGCCTGGAGAAGGGATAGGAAGGTATGGATTTGATACTCATGGTATGAATGATGCAGCTCAATTACAGTTGACTAGATACAGCACATTAAGTAGAGAGCAACGCACCATTCCTGGCAGTGTTTCTTTGTTTATCTATTTGTTTTTTAATGAAGTAACTGGCACTGAACAGGCTGAAGTGGCAAGTTTGGAACTTGAAAGCATCCCCCTGCATGGCAATTTATTACTCAGGTAGAATATCTGCAACAAATATACTATATTTGCATAAGAGGATAAAGCAGCAGCAGTGTCGGCATCACTTGTTCATTTGAGGTGACTGGGGACACGTACTTGCTTTTATTTTTCTGGCCAATCTGTGAACATCACACAGCCCAGCTCTCTGTAGACATCACATGCAGCAGAGCTCAGATGTTTGTGCAGGCTGTCAGGTACCGCAAACACAGGAAGAAGCAAAAAGCCAGGAGCTTTCAAGACCAATATTGCTTGTTCATCCTGGACTTACCTACATGCCTAAGATTGATCCTGCAATGAAGCAGGAGATTAGTTATCATACCTGCCTTCAGAGAAATTGGAGAGCTTCTCCGTCCTTTAGCTCCCCAAGGTACGTGGAATGTGTTTTGTGGCTCTTGGCCCATGCAAGTTTCTCATAGCAGCTTGCAAGATCAAACTGCACCTGCTCTGAACAGCAGTGTGACCCTGGCGCATCAGATGTTCCTCCTGCCAGCTGCTGTAACCTCTGAGCATTTGCTGTTGGTGGAGGGGTCATAGTGCTAGAGTTCCTATGTTCACATGCAGGTCCCAGACACCAAGATAAGGTAGACAACTCCATTTCCATTAGCTCATCTGGTTGAGGCCGATGCAATGCTGGAGCAAGCCAGACAAGAGTCCCCCAGCAGCTGGGGGGAATGGGAGTTGTCAGTGTTGCCACTGGCTGACCTTGAGACAGACACTTGACTTTTCTGTAGGACAGTAGTACTTAGCTGCCTACATCTCAGGGGTGTTAAGAAGCTTAATTAATGTTTGCCTAGTACCTTGGAGATTACCTAACACAAGGTGTTGCATGGCTGTGAAGCGTTGTTACGCGTCTGTCCTAATGCCCCTGTGTGGGTTAGCAGGAAGCGGAAGGTCACGTCGTGATGTCATTTGTAGTCTCTGACTCAAATATACATCGATGTCTTTGGAACCCTTCTGCTTTCCTTCCTGCCACCTGGAGAAATGTAATTCCTTCCTTTGTAGGACACTTGCTGAGCTGAGACCAAATGTGGGACAAAGAACTTCTAAGTGAAGTTTTGACTCTGTTTCAGGGCTTAAAGAAGCTTATACATGGCAAAAAAATGCCGTACCTGCATAACTTGCTACACAGTAGAAAATTTGCTGTCCTGATTAATGTTCCTAAGCACAAAGTGAGAAGATGGTTCGTTTGTCTGAAGTTGTCTCTTCTCTGGTTTGGAACAAAGAGGTAGGGCAGGTCTCTCAGCTTGGGCTGTTGTGATCCTGGAGGCTGTTGGTTGATTAGAGCTTACCTAAGAAAGTCTCTTGAGAAGCTCTGGGCTCCATTGAGAAAGAATAATTATTTTTCCCTTTAGTTTTTGGGTGCTGGAGGCCAAAAAGTACTTCCTGAGAGCTGGAGAACAAGGTAAATTGCAAGGTGACTTGCTGGCGTCAGCGCCTGTGTTTTCTGTCTGTGTGGCAGGTAACTGGAGAGGGGAGGATCTGTCTGGTTGTTTGCTGTAAAAGAGAGAGCAAAAAGGTTAGAATTTCTGAGAAGTAAAGACTAGGCCACGGAAGACAGAGGACAAGGAAAGGCTGTCTTGGGCAGAGCTGGAAGTTCAGAAAGGTTGATGCAATTTGTCTTCCCTTGTATTCAAAGGGCCGCAGGCTCTTCAGCTGTTGAAGTGCTGAAGTGTCTAGAGCTCATGGCTAAAGTTGCTGGGAGAAAATAATGTCTGCTGGAGAAGCTTGTTTCTGGGGAAACAGAGCTGTTGTATCATAAATCTAAAACATGGAGAACAGGGCTGTCTTTCAATGGATAAGATAATTAAGAAATACTAAGTCCCTTTGCCGCTGCTGCTTCCCCCTTTCATTCTCCTTCTCTTGCGTGCCGTTTGCACAATCATCAGTCTTAGCCAAAGAATCCCTCCAATTTTTATTTCTTGTAATGTGACAAGTTTGTAAGCAAACAGGATGAGCCACAGAGAAGCCCAGGAGCCCAGGAATGTGAAGCATTTCAGAGCGGCTCTTTCTAGAAGGGAACCAAATTCTTTCTGTGTGGATCATGGCTCCTGCTGCGTCGAGAAACTTTCCTCCCTTTTTCCTTGAAGCAGTGGAGGAAGGCTCTGCGGTGGGACACCTCTCACCCGGCCTACTGCCCTCATCACTGCGTTGTTGTGTCACTTGCCCTACGTAGCCCTTTCAGCAACCAGTAAAATACCAAATCCTACTTCCGTAGGGTCTTTGGAGGAGATATGTGCTGTCTTTGGAGTCACAGTACAACCCTGGATGCTCTGCTCTCTAAAGAGCCGTATGAACCATCTGTATTTACAGCCTCCTTCTGCCTGACCTCAGATTTTTTCTTTTATTTCCCAGATTCATGATTAATCCCCATTGCTCAAGTTTTGGGATACTTTAGATTCCAGGAGGGGCATCTAGCCTCCTTTCTTCCACTGGAGACATTATCCCTCCAGGAAGAATTGCTAGGGGTGGCAAACACTGCTTCTCCCAGCATTCCAGGGCAGGTTGATTAAATAGGGAAGCTCTGTGCCACTTGGATTTGTGGCGTTGGGAAGGGGGATAGCAACTGGCATGAGTGCCAGTTCTCTGCCAGCTCCATCCAGCTTCCTCCCAGGGGAGGAAGATGTGAAGATGTTACAAGCTGTTGGGTATCTGAGAAGTGATCGTAGGACTATAAAGTTGGGAATATGAGTAGGGGAGGAGCAGTTGGGAACCGTTGGTCTGGTGACCAGAGCTAGGACAGGAAGCAAGTTGTCTTTGCACAATTACTGGGGTGTGTAACGTGGACAAACTGGCCTACTTCTTGTGCCTCAGTGATCCAGGCCGTACCTGAGTGACTTCACTGCTTTGTTGTCCCATGTAAAACATTTGGCTCCAAGTGCACAGTGAATCCTTCGACTTCTACTCGCAGCCCTGTCTCCCTGTGATCACAGGGAGGCTTGTGTGCATTTGCATGCTCACAGACCACACCTGACTGCACTCCTGACTGGTTCAGAGCTGAAGATTGCTGAATGCAAATACTAACGTTCCTAGAGTCTCAACCCAGAAAAGTGGGATCCAAGCTGCTTAACCTGGTGTCCATCTTCGCAAATACACATGCTCCTTTTGGCCGGTACTGCTGAGCTGCCTGCGGCACTGGCCAGGCATGGTCCTCATCTCGGACGGCAGAGAACTGGGAAGAAGCCAGGGGCTCTTATGAAACCCGTTTGCTGGCGACTGGGAGGACTCTGTTGATGGGAGGACTCCAAGTGCAGAAAGGTGCATGGCTTTGGGGAATTAGTGCTCCTGGCTGGAGCTGCTCCTCACAGCCGTATTTGGAAGTATGACCTAATCCTGCACACTAGCTAATCCGTCAGTAATGACTACGTAGACTTAATGCATTCCACCTGGAAGGAGAGGGCTCAGCCGAGGAGCTTCTAACTAGGTCGCTGGTGAGCAATCTTGCCCCTCCCTCTGTGTCATTTTTATTAATCACTTGAAAAATACGTTGAGTAAGGATTGCAAGCAACTTGTCAGGCCAATTAGAACCAGAGAAAGGTAGGGCGGTGAAGCTGAAGACACATGCTATGCTGGTTTTAAATGACTGTCTACAAACCCCACTGACCTGTGAATAATGATCTTAACAAAATAAAGTTGGCAGCTTTAAAGTGTGCTCCTCCATCTGAAGACATGTTTCTTCTGAATACACAGGATGAGCAGTTTGTTATTGTCCAGAGATGTATCACCAAAAGCAAATCACTTAGACTCTGTCTTATAGCTGCCCTTAATCTGGTTTGTCCATTAGCATATATACTTTTTGGCAAGGGCCTGTCCAAGTGTTGCATACACTTTGAGCGTTAAATAAAAGTAATGCAAAGCTCTTTCTTGCAAAGGCAGTTTTATGGAGCTTGCCTGAACAGAAGTTCCCATTGCTTTATGATCCCTCCTACTAGGAAATAAATTGCCAAATTTTCTCACTTGATGAAGCTGAACAGTATTGGACTGAGAGAGAACAACCGTTAGGTAACGTTGCAGTCTTCTTGGTTAAGTGTGGTAGTTTTCCCTGAAATGTGTTTTCTAGAACCACTTTGCTAATGCTGCTATGCTTTGGGCATGTTTTTTGGTTTATGATTTAAGTATCAAATGGATAGTATGTGCCAGCAATAAATATTTATAATCTTGTATTCCTTTTACGTTTTATCTGTATTTTGTCTTCTGTGAAATACGTGCCAGCCCTGTGGTGCTATAAACAGCATTACTCTTTGGGAGACGGTTGCCTAGTGTATTAGATCCTGCTGTCCAGGATCTTTGATCCCATCTGTTTCCTGGCTCAAATCCTTTTCTCCTCGGTTTTATTTGTTGGTTTTAGTTACATTTTGCGGACTGAAATGAGAGGTTCAGGAGAGAGATACAAGTAGAGGAAAGGGCAGGAGGGAGGCCATGGCGCCCAAAAAGGGAGCGCCAGCAGTGGCAAGCGGAGAGATGAAGCAGCCCAGGCAGCTTTCCAGCTTGCTATGGTTAACGACAAGTCTTGGTGCTCCGCAGCCGGCCGCAGAGCTACCCTTGCTGCCGCTGTGGCAACTGGGTGGCAAAAACACATGGTAGGTAGTTACAAATTGGCTTTTCCTGTAGGATAGCTCAGAGGAGCTTTTCTCTAAACCTATTGATGCTATAGAAGAGCACACGCTTTCCTCCTTCCTGAAAGGAGTAACGGCCCAGATACACAGCACTAGCCTGTTGCTTCTTAGACATTAGGTTCTTGTTTTGTGTCACTATGGAGACCTGGGTTGGAGGGTCAGTAAATCAGGAGGATTTATTTTTCTTTTTTTTTTCCCCTTAGTAGAGGAGATGTTTAGAGTCTCTATATACTGCAGTTGTCAAGCAAGGAGTAAAAGTAGCTTGTGGTTTGTTCCCAAGCAGCTGAGGGGACAATTCCTACCCTCGATCTGTAACTCTTGGTAGCAAGTGTCACACAGCCAAACCCAATGCTTTAAAGACTCGTTTTCCCCTTTCTGTGCAAGTTCTTTCAGTGAAAACTATCTGTGTTCATGAACCCACCTGTGCTCTTCTGTCCTCCAGAGTTAATGAGCTCTATGTGGATGACCCAGACAAAGACAGTGGAGGGAAAATAGAAGTGAATCTGAACATCAGTTTACCAAACCTGCACTGTGAACGTGAGTACCCCCTTTCACTCCTCACCTTCTTTTTCATTGTATTTTAAGTGTTAAGTGAAATAGGCCCAAACTATTGGCAGTAGAGCAGTAGCCCTTCTTCTGTAACAGGATGGAGATGAAGTAGCTGCGGCCTTTACCAGTACCCTCTTGCTTTGTGTTCCAGGCCAGAACCTGTGTTTTCTCTTTCTGAACTCTCTCTACAGCTCTGGTTAGTGGTTGACCTTCCTTCCTGGCTTCCCTCTAAGTCTTGTTCCCCTTTTTAGTGACCTTTTGTGTCTGACAGCAAGAAGTCTCCCTAGTTATCTTTATAACTCTGAATGGACTGTCTACTTGTTAGCTTTTACATATTATCTTTCTTGATTACCTTGATTTTCTAAAGTCGAGGTTGAATTCACATAGGAAGATAAAGGAGTTAAATTAGTGTCAAATAAACAGTCTGAAAATTTTGGTTATAGAATCCATTCTGAAGATTCGGTATGAAAATATTTGACAGGTGAATTTACTCACTGCCAGGAAAAGATTTTTGTTTGTTTGTTTGTTTGTTTGTTCAGTAAAAGGCAATACATACCTTTCCTATACAATCTGATTTTTCGTTTTGCTTTCTCTCCCTCTTCCACCCATACAGTAGTTGGACTAGACATCCAGGATGAAATGGGAAGGCATGAAGTGGGTCATATCGACAACTCTATGAAAATACCTCTCAACAATGGAGATGGCTGCAGGTTTGAGGGCCACTTCAGCATCAACAAGGTGAGTAGGAATGAGGAATGACAGTGGGTGAGCGTTCTGTCTGGAGAGGTGTGAGCAAGATGCATTTATAAAACGTTCATGAAAATCTGTGTGTCAATGTCTTGGCTTACAGAGGATAGATGATGTCCCTAATCACTAGCTGAGCTCGAGTCTCTCAGTGCTGCAGAATGTGAAAGGAGGCTTCATGGATAGACCCTCAGAGAGCGTGTTAGCTCATCCTTACCATTCTCCAGACCAGGTAGTCCAGGTAGCATTGCTCTAATAGCACTGAGTAGCCCTGGGGCCAGTGCTCTCACTTTCGGTGAAGCTGCCCTGAGGTTTAGAGGACTGCTTGATCTCCTTGTGAATATAAAGTGTCTTCTGTGTTTATTCGTCACGACTTTTGCACCTCCAAAATGTGACTCACTGCATAGAGGTCTTTGGCAATGTCTCTGTCCAAACGTCTTTTGTTCCAAGAGCCACAGAATGACAGGAATGTTCCCTGCCGGAGGATGCCAGGCCAACAGAAACGGCTCCGCGTTGAGGTGTTTGGAATACGCACACAAGGCCTTTGCGCATGCTTCGTAGGGGTGCTCTGCTTCTGCCTCAAAATGCAGGCCTGGAGGAGGCTGCTCTCTGGGATGGGTGTGCTCAGATTGGATAATCTTGCTATGTAATGCTAGAGATGACTAGCTGGGGTGGGGGAGGCAGAGGTGGGGCGCACTGATGTCCTAAGCAGGGCGCACCCTTTATTCACGCCTCCTCATGTACCACAGGCTACAAAATCCTCCTTCCTATTTTTCCTCCCAGGTCATGCTAAATCACATCTGAAAATAGAGTCAGAACCTCCTGCTGATTCTGTGGCTTGAAAAGAATTAGGGACTTAGAAAAGAGGATGTTTCTTTCCTCACCTTATTGCCACCAAGACTACTGGCAGCTGATGGTCCACAAATCTGGGAAAGGGTTCACTGGAATGTAGTTCTTGCTCTGCTAGCCCCAAAGCACAGAACTAAATACTTCAAGTTTTTGTTTGCTTGTTTGTTTTGTTTTCCCAGGTTTATGTGGTGCTTTCTGCTCAGCAAGGCAACTCAACAGGGGTTGCTGTATGTGGCAGTGAGAAGTTCCCTTTTCTGCTTGTTTGTGCAAGGCCACTATTTATCTTGTGCCCTGTACTGGTTGTGGCCAATATCAGAGGGAAGAGGCTTCTGGCTCTGAAAGCCTGAACCTCTCATGTCTCAGGTGAAAGTCTTCAGTCTCTTGGTAGAAAATTTATGGATTCTGTATAACTTGAATAAGGCCCTGCCTTGAAACTTGGCTGCGGATGGTGGTCAGGCCCTCTTCTGCAGGGCTCTGCAGGCACATAGAGACAGTCCCTTCTTTGAAGAGCTTATATTGGAAGACACAGATCCTGCAAGGAGCTTCACAGCTGCTGAGCTTCCTGTTGGCTTCAGTGGTTGAATGAAGTTAGTGATAGGAGCAATGATTAGAGCCTGAGTATGTGACAGTACCCAGCAAAGCATCCAGCCTGGAGAGAAGGTGCAAGGCAACTGTGAGGTGATTTTGTGTTGTTTTTGTGGAGTCTGATACCCTGTTCGCTTAGCCTGCATATGTCATAGCTTACATCCACACCTGAAAGGGTTTCCTGAAGTACCCAGCTGTTTCTCAAGTGATTTAAATGAGCTTTTCTGGAAGCAGCATTTGGCCCCTGGCAATTCTACTGGTGAAATGTCTGCAGAGAAGACAGGGGGCACCAGCTGTATAACAGTCCTCCCACTGTTGTCTTACACTGTGTCAGATTGCTTTCCAGTGCTGTCAAAGGGATTGCCAATCAAGCCTGTTTAATTTCCTGCCCTTTTCCAGATAGGAAAAGTTTTTTTGCGCCCTCCATAACCATGACCGAGCTGAATCTGCTGAAAGTCTTCATGGCTTAGGGCTGATGACCTGAAAGTGTGTGCACACCAGAGTGAGCCACTCAAAATGACATCATGGCTTATTTGCTGCTTTGGCAACTGGAGTTCTGAGATGAAATCCTTATTTTCAGGACTTTGTGTTTCTCACTGTCACAAAGAAAAAAAAAATCTCTACTCAAAAGGGTTATTGCCAGGGTTGGAACCTGAAGATATGGCTTAGCATGTGTGTAAAGCCTATAGATTAAAACAAAACAAAAAAACAAACTGCTTCTTACCCAAAGTCTTCTCAACTGCAAGGTTTCTTGTACCTAGTGCTACTAGAATGTATCAACATATCCACTGCTTTTGAAGGTTGTTCTGCAACAGTGGGCCCATTTACAAGTCTGAGATGTGGGAGGAAAATGTTAAGCAACCATTGCCTGCCAAAGGCATGAATCTTATTTTAATGAGGATGAAAGACATAGCCTTAAGCACTAGGAATCCCTGAGGCTGGGAGTGGTCCATTCACCAGCCCAGAGTCAGCAGCAGTAGCCATGTGAGGACACCTGGGATGTGACTGCTGCCTGCACCGTGTGCGGAATGGTGATGTGGGACAAGTGCAGGGAGGTATTTCAGTGCCTCTTGCTGATGTACCAGGGGTTATACACTGCTAAATCCATAGAGCATGCTAGGCTGTATGGATCTGGGCATTTCTGCTTCATATCACAGAGCTTAGCAATGCCTTGAGGGATAAAATGTGAAATTCTCTTCCTTGTCTTGATTAATTTTAGGTCCCTGGTAACTTTCACGTGTCAACACACAGTGCCACTGCGCAGCCTCAGAATCCTGACATGACTCACATCATCCACAAGCTCTCCTTTGGGGACAAGTTACAGGTGAGTTCTCTTCCCTGAAAACCCCTTGTCTGTAGGGGACCAAATGCAACCAGAGCAACCCTGGTACTAGACTTTCCGATCAGTTTTATGGAAGGGCCATGTGCAGTGTGGGAAGGCATAGGAAAGAACTACCCAGATAACCAAATCCATCCTTTGCACTGTACACTCATGTGCCTCTTCACATGCCACCACATCAGGAAGGAACGGTGCTCAGTCATAGACTAACTTTGCTATTTTCATCTGAAATAGAAAGTGCTTTTGGAAAACTTAAGTGCTGGTGTTCATGCTGGGAATAGAAATGAGGATTCCTGGGCCTGTAAAATGCTACACAGTAGTGCTTTTAGTATTAATGTTGCAAGCACTTCTTAAGAGAGTGCTTGCTGAGGAACAGTAATTATACTAAGTGAAAATGAATTATCTACTGTCTTTACCATGGCACCAGTCAAGTCCTTTATAATTCACTTCACCATACTTCTAAAGCAGATGTCTATTAGCCAAATTTGTTCTGTGAGACACAGGTTAGACTTAGAACTGCCAGCTCCCTGCTGGGAAGAAGTTCAACATGTGCACTTGCCCTGTGGATAGAGTTACACCTGGTGTTGCAAGTTATGTAATAATTTTTGATTTCTCAATAAGGGCAGATTACAGCACTTCTTTAGCCTACTTCCAAGGAACTGGCATCATAGGTGGGAGTTGCATGTGTGCACACCCAGTTTGCGACTCGCCCTAAACACTTACCCGTAGTCTCTCTGTAATCTTCGCTTCTCAGTGCAGACGTCTCATTAGTCTGCTGCTTGTACACCTACTTCCAAAACCCTTTTCTCATGCTAACAAGTCTAAGCATTGCTTTGTAGTCTCCTGACTCTGCTCCCGGCTTCTTTTAGGAAATATCTTGTGTGGGAACGCTGGAATATTAGCATATAAATAAGCTTGGCTTAATGTCTGTAAAGCACACTGAGATTATGAAAAACATTAGGTAAGTGCTAATAGGGAGTTCTGTAGTTTGTATGGGAAATCAGTGCTGTAGGGTAGTGTTCCCTGTGCTTTATCGTGGAGTCTTTGAG